AGATTTTAGAAATTCTGAGACAAAAATACGAACAAAGCATGAATAATTAAAAAATACCAAGATTGATGTTTTTCTTGTATTTGAAAGGAAGGAGAATCACAGTCAAACAATATTATAAACTTAGATTTGTACTGAAAATCAGTGCTACTGCTCTTACTATTTTTTTATACGAAAAGGAAGAGAAAAACACATTAGCAGGATGTTCTGACATAATTTCTTAGACTGGTTGAACCTTTTTAAATAAAAGAGGAAGAGTTTAAATAAAAGAGTAACTTCATTAAGCAGTCCTGGGAATTGAAGTATTTGTTTGAATCACTTACAAGAACGTGCTCAATCTAACTCATGTGTTCACTGGACTTACATAAATGTTGGTGTGTTTGTATGCTTGTGAGCCTTGTGGGCCTTACAAATGGTTTGAGACAGTATTGGTACTCATGTATTAAAGTCAGTGGAAGGAAATCAGAAAAGCTTTTCTCAGAGCTCAGTGTAGGTAAGGGGAAAAAGAGTAACACCTGCCAGATATATATAGATATATGATATTTTAATTTATTTGTGGCTACTGTTATCTATGATACAAGCAAAAGAGGGAAACCACCATATGTTAAAATTGGTTACTTTGTCAGTTAAATCAGAAACATTTCTGAACAGCTACTATTTACAGAAATAACACTTGTTCTATGGAACGAGAGGGTGGAAAGCAGTGCCATGGAAAGGGACCTGGGGGTCCTGGTCAATTTGGCAAGTTGAATATGAGTCAGCAGTGCCTTGGCAGCCAAGAGGGCCAACCGTGTCCTTGGGGTCATCAGGCAAAACATCACCAGTTGGTCAAGGGAGGGGATTGTCCCTCTCTGCTCTGCACTGGGGTGGCCTCACCTTGAATATTGCGTGCAGTTTTGGGTGCCACAATAGAAGAAAGATATTAAGCTCCTAGAGAATGTCCAAAGGAGGGTAATGAGGAGAAGCCGTATGAGGAGCAGCTGAGGTCACTTGCTGTGTTCAGCCTGGAGAAGAGGAGACTGAGGGGAGACCTCATTGCAGTTACAATTTCCTTCTGTGTGGCAGAGAAGGGGCAGACATTGATCTTTTCTGCGCGATGACCAGTGACAGAATTCGAGGGAATGGCCTGAAGTTGTGTCAGTAGAGGTTTAGGTTGGATATTAGAAAAATGTTCTTCACCCAGAGGGTGGTTGGGCACTGGAACAGGCTCCCCAGGGAAGTGGTCACAGCCCCAAGCCTGACAGAGTTCAAGGAGCATTTGGATGATACTCTCAGGCACATGGTGTGACTCTTGGGGATGGTCCTGTGCAGGTCTAAGTCTTGAATTTAGGGTCCACACAAGGGATCCCTGTGGGTCCCTTTCAACTCAACATATTCTGTGGGTTTGTGAACTAAAATACTTTTGTTGAGTATTAAAATTATGAATGATATGGAAGAGGTCATTAGCTTTGGAGTTCTGAAGGCACTTAAAAGCCCTAGGCAGTTTTTGTTTAATTGGCTTTTCAAGGTAGAAAACAATTCTATAGAGACAGATCCCATAGCCCGTTATCCTTCATCCCCACCTTGGACTTACCCATCTGAAGGACAGCTAGAGGAGAAGCAGAAGTACAGTCTAGCTAGACAAGTGGATAAGTCACTTTCCCACCAAGCATGTAATTTCTGGGTGTCTTGAGAATTTGCTGTAAAAATCAATAGTGTATTCTTTTTTTCTATATATATTCTTTTCTATTTGAAGTAAATAATACTAATTCAGTAATTAGTCTTGAGAAAAAATGTGTTGCTGATATTCTTGCAAAGTCGAACAGCTTCCAAGAATTTCTGCCCTCATAAAATGATCAGTTTGAGTAATAGTAGACTACTACTCAGACTACAAACAGTTATTTTCCTATAGGAAGTTTCTGGACTATACGAAATGAGAGGCATGAAGGTGCCTGAGTGCTGTCTTCTAAGAACTATCTTTCTCTGCTTCTGCTTGTAGAAGCTTTGGGCTCTATAACAAAATCCCATTGTTCTGCCTGTAATAACACAGTTCAAATATCTCTTCTCCTCAATCATTCCACATGTTCTGGATAAATATGAGCTCTTTAAGAAGTAAAGTGACTATAGTAATGTACAATTAGATTAGCTGTGTACTGCCAAAAGAAAGGATCCCAAAGGGAAGTATAAGAAAGCACTGCAATGATAGTAACTATAAAGGAGGCAATTTGTATCACTATATTAATAGTGTCATGCAAATATAAACCTATAAACATGACATGATAGAATATGCTAACAAAGAAAATTAGTATAAATAGCTAAATTTTGAGACACTATGAGAACGATACAATATCAAATGTCAAGTTTTAGTTTAATTACAAACACAGGAATTGTGGCTGTCATGAAGCACTACAATATCTTCAAATTCAGCTGAAAGTGAGCACTTGACCGGTCCTGTATTCTCTTCCTCCTTGCTCTATAGAAATGTAATACTTGTGGATTAGACAATTTTTAAGATTGAAGAGAAAATGAAGATAAGTAAGAAAGAGGAAATCTTGCCCCCACTAATTGTGGTGGAGAACCTTCTCATCAACAGGAAATACAATCTTCCATCTCTTCTTAAAAAAAAATGAATAGCTAAATCATTGTTGAGGAAGCACTGCCATTTGGGCATGATCAGTTAATTCACCTTCAGATGATACAACAAAATTCTCTGCCATTCAAGGGAGAAAAGAAATGTAATATAAAACACCATTTTCCCTTTTTAGAATGAAAGGGATATCTATGTAGAAGCATAGATGTGACTGTCATATTCAGGGGTTCATGATAAAAGTATATATGTTTATGCTGCTTATGTTTCTTATTTCAAATATTAATTAGTTCTGAGAGCCTCGTACACTGACTGCTTAGTCTATTCCTCCCATACACATCACTCTCAATGGTTATTTATTCTACAATAGTGCAGTTTGCCAACAAGATTCTTTTCAGGCTTAGTGTTGGCTTCACTAGTTACTGCAGGTAACATTTTTTAAAATGTGATTTACATGCATTTTACAGTTTTCTCCAGGCTGTATTTCTCGAAAAAACCCCCAAACCACGTTCCTACTAAAGTGAATAGAACTGCTCACTGAGTAAGTAAATAGACTGAATTCAGCACTCACAAAAGCCTGTTGAGGTATATATTTAACTGTCTTGCATGTTAACCTTATCTTGGGACTATGAAGTCACTGTTTATATACAGTTAGCAGATGAGAGGGGCACAGCTTCTAATCTGAACTTTTGCTCTATTTTTATTATACATACTAGGAGTGAGGATATAGAGGATCCTAAGTACTGTGTTACTCGTTCATAATCCCCTTAACTACATAAGGTCTCTTTTCTTACTTCCATGAAAAATGTTTTCTCAGAAAAATTAGGGCAATCTTATCCCACCACAGATTTGTACTGATTTGCTAAATAAATTTTACTTCTTTATCCTGTATTTCTGAGATAATGTTCCAATAACTAACAAATATATTTCACTGTATCTGAGTTTATGGCTTAGAGCAGGAGATGGGGTGTCATGAGAGCATCCTGGATTCTCTCCCTGTTTCCAGAAGCAATAAACATCCAAACAGAGATAATCTAGAGGAGATCTAGAGGAATAGGAGAATGTACATAAGAGCATAGACCAACATTGCTAGCAAAATGTATCCTGTCCATTCAAAAATATCACTAACTGCAAGTCCATTCACAGCTACAAATCCCCCTCAGGCAAGTAGCCTAAACAATGCTTTATATTTTTGAAGTGTTTTTGGATATTTAGAACATTAATATTTTCAAACAAACAATAATTTAGGTTATTTATCAAGACATTAATTTTGTCTTTCAACTGTGTTTTTTACTTTGGGATGGCTTCAGAAAAAGCATATGTTCAAATTGTATTTCCTAAAAACAAAAGGAGCAAATAATGCTGATAATCCATATTAGGATCCATATAATTCTTTGTTTTGGGTGGGTTGGCTTCATATGAGGAGGGCAGAATGCTATCTTTTTAGCTGTCTTAGTGGTCTCTGCTTAACAATGTTTGAAATCAATAATACTGACTTAATAAACACATTGCTCACACCTCAGCAAAAAATAGACACTATCAATAGACACTGAATTAATGTAAAGAGGTTTTTAAAACATTCTAAATAGAAGTTCTCCAAATAAATTATCGAACATTTTTGTTTCTTGATATTTTGTGTGATAGGGTTTATGATAACCCCAGTTTTATAATTTGTGTTTATTTCTGCCACTGTGCTGCATAGCAGTGAGGCAAGTCTCTCATTTCAGCTCTCAGCAGAGGTCTTTATTATACCAAATCTCTGCTAGTAAATTCTGATACTGGTGTTCTTTATCTTCTAAAGGGAAGTGAATAAATAAAATACTCTGTATTATTTTGAAATATTTTTTTTTCTTGTGGATGATTTACATTACAAGTGACAAAGTTTTGTTTGCTTGTTTGATTGCTTTTAATTTTTTTTAATTACATGCTTGTGTCCAGAGGCAGAAGCTTGAACAGACGATTTTTTTGATCTACTACAGTTCTTAGCAACTTCTCTGCTTCTGCTGGTTTTATCCCTAATACAACTTCATGCATCCAACACCAGTGTTTGCCTTACAGTGCTAAGATCCACATTTATTCTATTCTTTCCTTTCAAGAGCAAGAGTGTCCTTAGTTGGAAGAAAAGCTTCTACAACAGCTGCCTGCACTGTGTTCATACTGAGGGTAAGTAGGGGAGTTTGAATAAATATCTTACTTAGGAATATGATAGCATATTTTGATTGCTTTATTAAATAAGACCAACATGAATCTCTTCTTAGTGGTGACACTAATGATCATTAATGGCCAAGCCTGTTATCTTTACAGTACAAATTCTTAGTCGAAAAACTTAAGTCTTGAATACAAGACTTACTATTTTTGAAAGAGAAAATAAATGCAAATCCTTGGCATTAATCATTGGCATAAGATAATCCTCAAAAATATAAGACAGAAATTCCAGGGGTTTGGAAGCTGTTAATTCACTTGTCTACCATTGGTTTCTGTGTTGCCGTAGTTATTATATTGTCTCCTTGCATTGGCTAGCCAAATGGCCAATCCCCTCTTTGGCCCAGTAGCCCTTATAAGCTGTGGGAAATTTGAATAAGGCTCTTCTTCGCTGCTGGATTCCCTGTGTGCTGTCCTCCGGCGCCTGTCCCTGCCACGAGGGACAGGTGGCGGGGGGGTGATTCCAGCCCTTCACAGAGCGGCCAGCAGTGACCCCCCAGAAACCCCTCAAACTGCGGCAAGAAATAACAGAAAATGCTGCAAACCCTTTTTTTCCCCTTGGTTTTCATGCAAAAGTAATAGGAAGCTGTGTGGACACAGCTGTATTCCATACAACCGTGTTTACTCACTGTACGCAGCCTAGCTACGCTTGTGCTCCAGCTCTCTCGGGTTTCTAAACAACAAACAGCAAGTACCAGAAGAGGTTCCACACTTTTCCAAAGGTATGTTATTCAGCCTTAATAATACAGACTTGAGGTAGTGCAAGTAAAAGAGACAGTTTCCCAGAAATTTGTACTAAATGCTGTCTTCAGAGAGCTCAGTCATGTACAGTGGCATGTATTCCTTGGGGCAGGACATTTAAAGCTATAATGACAATTAGACATTTTCCCCTCTTGTGAGCTACTTATTAAAGTATTTGCTGGCCTTAAAAACACTTTTGGCAGAAAAATGTCTGGTTTAGACGTATTTTCATTTGGAAATGGTTACTTGCATGTCTGTTACTGTTTTACAGCCACAACTTCTACAGCATTGACCAGTTTCAAGCATACTTGAAAGAATTTTCAATATATTTAACCTGGAGCTCGGAATTAAAGACTGGAGATGAATTTTTCTTGATTAAATGTAAGATTATGCATTGAGGAGGCCATACAAACAGTCTATCAGCCACCAAAAGTCTATAGAATTCCCATTTAGATACCAGAAAATGCTACAAAGGAAACATACCTGTTCTTAGAAGACACTTTGTTTATCTGCTCCTCTGTGCTGTGGAGTTATTTGCTTTTTTCTATATTCCTCCCCTTGAATATAAAAAGATATTTTGATCATTAAAATGCAATTAAAATCATTAAATACACAGCATTCTACAGATGAAGTATATTACAGAAGATTCTCTTTGGATAATGATTTACAGATACTTTATGAAAGAAATGTGTAACAATGTGCTTTCTGGACTTTTTCATGAACAAAATTATCCAGCCATGGAGTATTAGAATGACACCTGAAATGTCTAGTAGGAACAGGGATGTACAGCACACTGTTGGTGCTATGTGAGATTGGTTGTGCTTTGTTTTGCAAGAGGTATACATAATGCATAATGTGCTGTGCTCACGACAGAGAGAGAATCACAGACCCTCATAAAGAAACATCACCATCTCCAGGTTTACTGTCTTTTTTCAGCTTATTAGTTCCTCAGTGAGAGGGCTGTAATAAATCTGTAAGAAGACTTCCAGCTCTGCCATATAAACCACCTTCTGTCAGCTTATAGGAAGGCAGTGTATTTGCAATTTTTGTTGTAGGACCTATTCTCACTTATAATGGGAAAGTGAGATGGAATAAATGAATAAGACTTTCCATAGGAAAGGATAAAAAGATGATGAGACATATTTGAGACCATTTCTCTTTTTAAAAAATTGAAACCCTTTAGAAATTAACTGAATTCTGTAGTGACTTGAAATTTGTTCAGGAACTCTATGCTTCAATAGTGATAATTTTCAACATCTATGCTGCGTTACAGTCATACAGAATACAACCCATCTAGAATGGGGATCTGTGGATTCAAAAGTATTCTTTAGTATTATCTTCAGTATCTGATGACATCTTTTTTTGAATGATCTTCATATATTCTGTATGTGCTTCAATTTAATACTCCTCTTTTTCAACTAACAACCATATGTATTGTGAGTGAAGCATGTATTGAAATGTTGCCAATATCTTCCATTTAGCCACAGTTTATCTAATGATATTAAAGCTCCCTGGGATTTTTTACAAAATTTGCCATTGACATGATGAAGTTTAGCACCAGTGTAAAGGTTAAATTAAACTTAATACGCATACCTTACTTTGCGTGCCACACAGTAATTATTCCCTTAAAATGTTCCAAAATGAGGACATTTTAATATTACACATTTGAGTTCCATAGAAACAGTTATTATTTGAGTATCTGTATAAAATAGGAAATGTGCTGCAGTGGTTTAGGAAGGAGTTAGTAGAAAAGTTAATAGCCACAGTCTTAGTAAAAACAGTCTTTTGCAGCATTAGTAGTCACTGCATGGAGGAGAACATTGTATATGTTACCTCCTTCCATGAGTTTCAAAGTTTCTACCTTTAAATGAGTTATCTTAGTACCATTTAGTACCAGTATACTGTTATAGTCTGTAAACAGGCCAGTCCTCAGCTAATCTGTCATAAACATTTTCTTTGCCAATACAGAAGATTTTAATTACTTTTTGAAACATTAGACTATTGCATTCATTTTTCAAATAGCTGATAAACTGCAATTTCACTTCCCTGGCCTTGTTCGGGTAATACTTTGTGTTTCTGTGCCTAGTATAAAAGAGTTGTCTAAATGCCAGCAATTTTTTACTTATTTTGAAGCTGTGCACAGAGTAATCATAACACAGCAAAGCTGTGGGTGTTTCACAATACTTGCCTGTAAAATATGATGCACCTAAATCGGACAATTTTTGAAGTGTTGTCCTAGTTTTGGCTAGGACCTGGAGGTTATTCTATACCACCTCACACCACTGTGGGGGTGGGAGGCAGGGGGTCTCGCTTCTGAGAAGGGTGTGGCTTCTCACTGAAATACACATAGCCAGAGGGGAGAAGCCATCCGCCAGTGTTCATTGTCTTGAGCTCTGCACTGAGCCTTTTTGTGTGTGAATCAGGTCTCTCTTCTGCAAACTTTTGTTATTAATACTGTTGCTGCTACTGTTGTTCCACAGTGTCTGGTTTGGGAGAGTCTCGATGGGGGCACTGAATTGGGGAGTACCATTCTGAAACCATGAAAGTCTTATCTGTCTCCCAATGTGGGACTTAAACCAACAATCCTGGAATTAAGAGTTTCATGTTTTACTGACTGAGCTAGCAATGACATGAGGTGATATATAATAACCTCTGGGTACTGGCCAAAAGTACGACAGGTATACAGAATCAGCAAATGTTATTCAGACTTAAAGGAAACACTGTATTTTGCAAGTTCTACGCTCTTCTGGCATAATCTTTTTTTCATCCAAACCACGATTACCTACGCATGAATTCCATTCACTTGCACCTTCAGATCACTATGGTTTTTGTAATTCTATTCTTATATTTGTGTGTCATTAGAAGAACTGTATTTCCTTAAAAAAAAAAAAAAGTTGGGGGTAATTTTCCCACCACAAATATCTTTCTCTCATTAAAACATGGAGATGTCGTTGACACAATTTTCTTTATTGTACTTTATTAATCACATAGAATATTTTTACTTGTATTTGGGACCTTCATAATATCATAGAATCATAGAATGGCCTGGGTTGGAAGATCTTAAAGATCTAGTCCCAACTCCCCTGCCATGGTCAGGATAAAGAAACTTACAATCCACAAGCCTTCATTTTATTCTCAGCATGTCTACTAAACATTTAATATTTTCTGCAAGGCAGAGGTCCTATGAATTTGTTGAGTTTGTTGAGTATGTATGAATTTCAAAGGTCAATGTAAAAATTGTACTCCATGTACAAATATGGTATTTCAGGAAAGAAACTGTAGCTATGTTACTTGACTGAGGAATGAGAACACTTCTCTAAAAATTATAATATGTATTCTACTAATTAGGTAATTTTTAACCTACAAATTACTTTTAGCTGGTCTATTATGAGTAATCGCATACTCTGGTCAGCTTGCAAAATGAGAAGTTCTTGTATTACTCTTTGGATTTCAACGAGTAACTAGTATATTATTCAGTACAATATGTTTTAGAATTATTATCACAGAGTCAATATGGTGTTCACATTATATTCTATAATTTGAAATTTGGCGGTAATTTTTATTTCTTTTTTTGTCTGTAAGAATGTTCCCTTGTGCACTTTTGCTAAACAACTCCAAAAATAATAATTTACTATTGGCAGTTGATTAATGGTAATCTATAAAACAGAAGAAGTTTTATGTACTGTTTACTATAATTTTCTTGTAATTAACTTGGAAATACCTTGAGCTCACTGCAGCATAAAACCTTGAGACTAGATATTGCTGAGAAAGAGTTCTGTGTTCGAGGACTTTGACCCATGTACATGGGATGGAAACAGTGCTAGTGATTTAAGTTAAATGTCTTAAGTCCTTTCTCTGTATTTTGACAGAGATTACCATTCCTTGGAGACATATTTTCTGCCTGGTTTAAATGGTACTACTACACGGCAGTATAATGGGAATAAATTTCCTTCAACTAACTTCCAAGTGAGGGGTAGGTTGACAGGAGTTTTGGTAACAGTTTAAACCTGCAAAGCTGAGCACATCTGCTAGAATTACTTCTTCGACCTGGGATTAGTTTCATTCAAGTAGTCCATATTCAGGCTGTGCAAATGAAATACCATCTCTTGACTCCTAGTAGATTGATCATTTGTACAGTTAGGGATGTATTCACATGGGGCATGTAATTTGCCTAAATTTTCAGCACAAGTGGAATAAGAAAGAGGTAGTAGCAAAGAAGGTTAACTTCTATAATAACCTGCCTTAGAATTCGTTGTGTTGAAATTCGATGAACAAACTGGAAAGTCGGTTACCATTGTCATAGTGCTGATGGGAGATGAATTTGAATTCTAGCTTCTCATACTCTTAATTTCATGTTTATTTGGTACAAGTTGGAGTTTGGGAGGGGACTAAACCTGCAGTTCTATTGTTTGCCTTCAGCCTGTACTTTTCCACAGAGAAAGCCATTCATCATCCATTGATACCTCCAAGTACATTTGGTACTGATTTAGTGGTGTTTTTTGGCTTTGAATTAGTAGCTAGCTTTGGCTCAAAAATGCGCACTCTGGTATCTCACACAGTTTTGCAAGGAGCAACAAAATAGACAATTATGGTAACACAGGATTATGTGCTATTCACTGCTAAAGTGAGACTAATGTGTTCAGTCTTTGAAAAC